ATTTTTACGCGGCCATTCGCTTAATAGCACGACACTTCAGAACGGGAAATTCATTTTAATTTCCTTTCTTTTTTACATTCGTTCTCTGTTTCCACAGCAAATACTGCGGTAACAACCTGAAAGACCAGGTGATCTAGAGATGACAACCGAGGCGAAACCATCGGCGAGGGAACGTCGTTGCATAAAATCGTTATTATCACGGGCCATTTGTTCGATCGTTTAAACAAAATTCGAGACAATACAGGGGTTCTGATTGTGGGAACGCGTAGGTCGTAATTTTCATAAAATTCATCCGACAAATTGTTGAATTCAATGGAACGAAACCAGCCGATATTCGATCCAACCGCAATTATCAATTTCATTTCGAATCTCATATATGGGGAAATGCGATGATCGCATTGACCCTTCTCATTATACAAATTTTCTACCTTCGTTACGGTATAAACGGGGCTCTGCTGCACTCACCCGCTAACGTGAAATTAACCGTAAAATCGGTTGAGGATATACAGATATTCAGGCTTCGGTACCAACAAGGGAACTTCGGTAACCCGAAAATTCCGACTTTTTGAAAACTTTGTGGGTTTGTAGGGGACCTCGAGAGAAGTATCTGGCAATTTTTTTCCGCTCAATTTCGGTTCTTCCGGGTGAAAACAGCCCTTGAACGAAGATAAGTGTTACCCTATTTCCCTTTTTATTTTTAAAACTATAGTAGATATAAAAAATGTTTATAATAAAAATTTAATGGCTTTTATGCCTTGTAAGATTGTGCTATTAAACGAATAAAAAATCTTCCACTACCGTTGTTGCGAAAAATTTCGAATTTTCTGTCATATCGAAAAATATGTCAAATAAATGCAGATAGATATGTTAATCTTTCCGGATAATGTGATATTTAAATAATTTTCATCGATACGTGCTTTGTATGCTGTCATCGTCGCACTTGGAACGATGCGTTACCAGTTACCAAGTATGTGAGCGAATCTTTGGTAGATTTTAGATTGGGCCAAAAAAAAATTGAGGTCCCCCACAAGCCCACAAAGTTTAAAAAAAATCGGAATTTTCGGGTTACCGAAGTTCCCTTGCTAGCTGAAGTTTTCACGGTCTGTCGAAGAAACTCCAGATGGAAATAATTCTGTACCTCAGAGTCAAAGTGATCCAAGTCCATTGTAATTTGACAACAGAACGGAGAAACATCACCGATCACACATGAAACAACACTGTACTCGTACTAGTATTATAAATATCAGATCATCCCATAAGTTTGTGCCGAAAGTGAAAAATGTATTAATGAAAATCCAAGGAAAAAAAAAAAAGGAAAAAATCGTAGAAGGACGAGGCGCTTTTATAAAAATCAAATTTAAAAGTTTGTTGGAAATATTAATCTAAATTATAAAATTCGACGCGAACTTACGGGATAAACTAACACATCTTTATGTCTACGACGTAAGTACAGAATTATCGTTTCAACTGTGTTTCACAGTTTGTCGCACGATTACGTACTACCAGCATCCGCTATCATTTGAAAAGCGTAACTTCAGAAGTTATAGGTAGAATCGTCGAATAAGAATTGATCCAATTCATAATTTTGATTCGGATTAACACGCACACACAAGCACACCGTTTCCCTCGATGTGTCGCCTCTCCTAAAATATCCTCCGTTATATACACGCCCGTGTGACTGACTATACGATAACGGTGTTGCAATATGGCCACGTATGGGCCGTGTTCTCGTTGCGTCCCGGTGATAATTTCCCAGAAATGGAGAACGTCGGCTTCGATAACCTCGCCGCCGAGTTATACGCGCGTGTTTGTTAACGTCGGCTACTGAATAATAATTTCGACCGTGGAATCGAGTCACGCGGATGGAAAAAAAAGGAAAAATCCAGCCCATCGTCACCGATCACGCTGTCCGGGTTTATTTACGCGGGACGCGCAGCCACCGTCTCGTTTAATGGAATATCCGTAACCAGAGCAATTTGATCGGGAAAATTTATCATATTATTACGCGGCGCGATTCGTTTCACTGGGCCGCTGCTACTGCAACGTAATGTCACCGACAAAATCTCTGATAATATGTTTCATCGATTCAATCGATGACGCTTTAATTCCACTGGAAATTCATTCCGTCCACATGAAATTATTATGCGTTGTGAATTCTTCCTTTATGTGCCTCTACTGTAAAATCATAGCAGTGCGCGTGTGTGCGTATGTGTGTGTAGAGAGAAAAAGAAAGAGAGCAAAAGAGTAATTGTTTTAAAATTAGATTGCTGAATTTGACTGTTGTTGCGAGTTCGTGCTCCTACATTCTGCTTCTCGATTCACCGTGTAATTGCGTTCATATACACGCCCAGAAACACGAATTCGTCACCGTAAATTCCGTATCGCTGACCTGACCCCTCTTACAAACACGTGTCATTCGCGTCGAGCAATCTAATTCATAATGTATTACACTTTCCATTGGCGCTTGCGGCTGTACTGGAATTCTAGTTTCAACCCTTATCCCGTCAAGATGAGTCCGATAAACACGCGCGCTTGGTGTTTTTTAAATATTTTGGACAGTGATTGAGAAATCTAAAATTTAAAAAGGATTAAAGATTTTTCGAAAGCAAAGAAAATATTTAAATAATTTTATTACGCATAGATTCATCAGAATCTATGAGCTATTTTTCCAGAAACCTCGAGGTACATATATACAGGAATGAAACTCTAACTTCTACATGCAAAAATAAACCGAAAATATCGAAAATTTTTTCATAAAAAGCAAATGAAGTACTTACATATTTCAACAGACTCTAAACTGCCCGTTTACGTTACACAAATAGACTATTCAGACAAGGGTTGAAATGTGGACATTCGCAAACCCTGGAAGAAATTTGCAAAATTTTTCAATCGAACCGTCTTATGTCTTTACCTTTAATTTCCAGAATAGTAAAAAAAAGAAGGTACAAGAACGAAGCGTGACTCGTAAATCTGTGTCGCTTAAAGAGGGGACACAAGGGACGATATAAACCGTGTACGTAAAACAGTTACAGTGTGAATGGTAATATAAAGTTTAATATAGCCTGGAACTTCCACGGATTATGATCGAGAAGGCTTGTCGCCTGGCAGACCATTCTATCTCGTCGCATTGCAAATTCGAAACGTTTCTTTAAGGTATAGGAGAACGTTCAGTTTTATGGTGAGGCGAAAGGCTTACTCAGGAATTTCAAAGCTACTCATCGTGAATCCTGCAAGTTCTAACTCTTCATTGTCCTATCGTATATGCGGACAGTTCTATCCATTGTAACTTCACTCAACTCTGGTGAATAATAATAACGTATCTCGTCCACTGTTAAGTCCTCGACAAATTTTCACTGGACGACAGAATTTTCACTTTAAGTCTCGTCCATACTTTCGAATCAGTGTACCAACTTTTGACACGTCATTTCTCTTATACTCACAGCAACGGAGAAGATCTACCTGTAACGATTGTTAAAAAATAAAAATACATATTTACCTAATTGATAATAAGAATAAATGAATTATTTTCCCCAATGTTCTTCCTATTTACTGCCGTAAGATAAAATAGCGGAGTATCGATCGTCAGTACGTTACCGTCCAACAGTAAGTCAGGCTTTACCCTCTGTCGACAACATGGTATCCAGAAAGGAGAGAACGCAGCCACGAATCAGTATAGAAAGTTTCCAGACACGTTCTGAATACTAAGGGGGTAAAGCTTAGAGGGGTAGCTGGGTATCCGCGCGATAAGACGAACAAATATTCGGGTTTATCGTTCAGCATGGGGGTTGTAGTTCAATTCGTGGTACACGTGAGTCGTAGCATACCACTTCTGGGAGTTTCAATTGGGTTACTGATTGTGAGCTGGGATAAACTAAACCGCGACAACAGATCTCCTATCATATACGTATCGCGACCGCACAGCTTTACGTGCACCTGCTGAAAAGTATCTGGAACCGCAAAAGTCGGAGAGAATAAAGGTGGATAGAATTTTCTTACCTCGAAAGATGCGAAGTATGATTCAGATTTTAAATTGCACTATGTTGCCTGAATTGTCAAGGAAATGTTACGCTTGGCACTACGAAGGGCGTACATACGTAAAACAGGCCACTTAATCACTTTCTCTAGCTATGGCGGCACGAGAAAATTTGAATAGAAAATTTAAATGGTTTCAAAGGACGAACAAGGTGGAAGAAAAATTTTTTCGATGGAATAAGTGGTAAAACATGAAAGGAAGATTGATATTTGAATTAAAATTTTAGGGTCAAAGGTTAGGTCTACAGTCACATTATTACACATGTTTAAAATGAAAAAAGTATAATGTCGGTGATCTTGAAAAAGTGACATTTATAAAAAAAATTTTTTTCTCATCTTATTTGTCCTTTGAAACCATTCGAATTACGTATACAAATTTTCTCGTTCCACCGTAGCTAGAGAAGATAATTAGGTGGCTGTTTTACGTGGCCCCTCCAATACGTAGAATTTACTAATTCATTTCTGCACATCACGAATAAAATATCGCCCTCGACTGAAAGTCAGGCAACCAAGATTTTCAAGAATATCCACGTATCTTTATTTTCACACCACCGTTGAATAATAACTGTGTCCTGCAGTACGCAGCGAGCCCTTTTAATCTGAAGTAAGCGTGGCGTAGCGAAAGGGTTGAAGATAAGAGAAAGAGGAAGTTGAAGCAGGCAACTATGAGTATGAAAGATACATAAAGTGAACGATGATGGTGTTATTTGCCTGTAAGTTTTGCTACCCTCTGATAATTAACGCCACACAACGCCACGAAACCGTTGGAAAACCCTTCGTGCCGTGGAATAATAGTTCACTTCTCGGGCGATACACCGCGTGCAAAACACAATAGTGTTACTTTGAATGATTAACGAGGATAAAATATCGATTCTAATTGGCCAGTGTTCTGAGAATACCTCTCCATCAGCGAGAAAGTTGCCCTCACTCGTTCACCTGTGCCTCGTCCCTGAAGAACATCCAACGAAATGAGCCTGTTCAACGCGAACATTCATCGAGTACTTCATATACTAGAATTGGCTGGAAGGTTCACGTGTACCTGGCCGTTAGATTCTAACAGCAGTAAAAGAGAAGTTGTCTTTCGTAACGTTCGATGGGGTTTCACGATACTAAACGTGATATTACTACTGATATCCTTGATACTCGCGATTTTTCACTTTCGAAACGACATAACTATTTTAATGAAAACCATCTCCGAGATGACTGCTCTGCTGGAGGTGTTGATGGACATGATTCTCTGCAAAATGAAGAGTGCACAGCTTCAGGTTATATTTCTTTCAAAATAACAATCCACGATGAAAGTCTGTAAGCGAAGGATGTTCGACAAAATGTTTACCGTATTCAGGTGTTGGTAGGAAAAGTAAAGGCGTTTGTAAAAGTGGCAAACAAGAACGAGATTAAGATAATACAAGGATACGTGGATCGATATAAACGATTTTTCGGAACAATAGCAATGGGATACGTAATGACTGGAATCACGTTCAGTTTGGCGCCTCTGTTTTCCGTACAAGAATTGCCAGCAGACGGATGGATCCCGTTTTCCATTAAACCACTGGGAGTATATTGCCTCGTATACTTTGTGCAGGTTTACTGCATTCTCCAAACAGCGTTCTGCATTAGCGTGGATTTCATGATCGCTCTTCTAATCAGCTTCTCCGCGGCTAAATTAGACATACTGGGGATGAAACTGCGAAAAGCGAATGGCCACGACGTGCTGGTAAGCTGTGTCAAAGAACACCAAGAGATAATAGGGTAAGATCAATCTGTTTTCTAGCGAATGTTCTACTTCGATAATTTTCCTTTAATTTCTCGACTGCGAGACAATACACTCTAGGTACATATATTCGATTTTGCACAATTTGATCGAAGTATAGAATACAGATTTAATTCGACTTGTGGTGAATGAGAAAGTGGATTTTATTCTGCGTCTACTGTTTAACTTGATAGAATAAGTAACATAGTGCGAGAGTTAAGTGTTCACCGAGATAAGTAAATCGAAACTGTGTGATGGTCAGATTTGTGGAGGATATTAAGACATCTGTCGAGACTTTGTTATTCAAAACGAACGCCACTATGGGAAGCGCTGTGATATGCGGAACGTTCCCGTTGATTTACGTGAGTTTGGCCTGCTCGATAGATTTCCGTACTGTACACCGTTTTTGACATGGTTTTGGTAGAGAAGTAGAAAATTGTTTGGTAGCTTGTATCGAGCCACTTTAAATGGACATTTCTATGATAACCATTCAGAATCAGTCGCTGACAGTAATCAGTCAGTTTCTTCCTTTGATGCTATCCGGCTGCGGACGACTATACGTCATCTCCTGGCCAGCAGATGATTTGAAAGAGAGCGTAAGCCGGTTCATAGTAATGCAGACTCGATAAATCATCTCATCTGTCTGTTATCTGAAATTAAATGAGACTTTTTTCAGTCACCTTCATATCCCATTTACATCCCGATTCGTTAGAATGCGCGTTCTTTCATTTTCAAACATGCACGGCAAATTTTCTTTCAGAGTATAACGTTCGCGAAGTCTCTGATAGACAGTCCGTGGATAGGGAAACCACGAAAAATGACGAACATTGTGATAATTATGATGCAAAGAAGCCAAAGGATATTACTCATTACCATGGGTGGTATACTTCCTGCTATTTCCTTGGAATATTATGCAAACGTAAGCACATCACTTGGAATATTTTATATAAAATGAAGTATATTACAGCGAATCTTTTTCAAACATTCGCATAATTTATTATGTACAATAATTTTGTAGTTCCTAACTACAGTAGGCTCCTACTTCATGGCAATGAGAACCATGATTGAGTCGTAATTGTCCTGGAAAATGTATGCATTATTGAAACTTCTAATAAACTCGTTTCGCTTGAGTACAAATATTTACATTGTTCGTTCTTTACACTTCTTTAAAAAATGAAAATAATATTAATTTTAAAAAGT